CCCCAGTGCCTCCTGCCCAGCAGCCGCAGCCCGCTTGAAAATAAAAGCTCTTCCCTCCACATGGCTCTCAACTCCAGCTGACCCAGTCTCTCAGGCCAATCTCTCAGCTCTGATTGGCTGGCTGTTTTCAGCCAATAAGAGCTGAGAGATTGGCTGAGGTCAGTTCTTATTGGTTGGTTGTTTCTGGCTAATAGGAGCTGAGGGTTGGGAGCAGGAAGATCACACGAAGTTTCCCCCCTGCCTGCAGAGCAGAGAAACATTCCTGTCTACACTGGCCCTCTTGCGCAAGTATTCTTGCGCAAGAGGGCTTATGCATGAGCGGGAGCATCAAAGTCAAGGGACTGCACTTTAAACCACTGGCAGCTGCGTGCCTGAGGGTCCCGGCAGAATGCTCCACAGGCCAGATCCGGTGGCTTGGTGGGCTGCATCCAGCCCCAGGGCCATATTTTGCCCAACCCTGATTTAGCGGGTCTTGACTAGACCCACCAAATCGAATGCCAGAATATTGACCTCCAGTGCATAAATACGGGCATGGCCCAAGATCCTGCATCTGTTCTGTGCTTATGCTTACACACTGGGATTAGTTCCGTTGACTTCAATAGGCCTACACACAGTGTGCAAAATTAAGCCCATTTATAAAACACCGTAGGCTCGGGGGCCTAAATAAACCCTGTAGGAAGCAGCACACACAGTGAGGATTCCTACCTGGTTCCAACTCGTTAACATAAAAAGTTATAAAATAAAGACTAAAGCCAAGCAGAGGGGAGCTGAATCCGGAGCTGTCAGAGAACAAGAGCACCTTCATCTTCACTGAAACTTCTTCTAGAGACAGGGAGAGAAAAAACACAAAGCAACAAGTTAACTCAGGGCTCTCTTCCAGCCCTAGGATTTAATGATTCTATGATTAACCTAGTAAGTTAGGATTATGAGAAGCTGGATCCTGGAGCTTGAGGAACAGAAGGTTACAGAGGACAAATTAAGTAAATAGAAGAAAAACTCAGGTCAGTGAACTCATTTACATATTATGGAGTGACAGAAATCATCCTGTACTTTATGGTTGAAACAAAGTCTACACAAAAAAAAGGCAGATCAGTCTAAAACTATATTAATTTTCCATCACCGAAAAAGGAAAAAACTCCCGTGAATATTAAGTAGGAGGAGGATTTAAAAAAAAAAATCACTGAGAACTGGCTTAATTGTGATCTTCCACCCCCTGAAGTCAGTGGGAAAACTCATAGCTATTTTACTGGGGACAGGAAACTTAAGCCAGCTGAGTGTCTCACATTGCCTCCCTTAAATGCTGTGTGCAGGGATTAATCCTATTTGCAATGAGAATGATTTCTCTCCGGTTTTTGCCCAGGACAATCCTATAATCCACACCAACATCTCTTTTTTTCTTTCCTAGCAGGAAACAAAGAGGCAGGAGAGTAAGCTGTGCAGGACGCGGAGCAGGAGGAAAACCATTGGTGTGCGCACGGGGAGTGCCAGGTGTGCCCAGGCACACCCTAATGTTTCAAAGGGCCGCCCTGGTGCGCTGGGGAACGGACACTGCGCAGGGTTTGCCACGCATGCGTGGCTAAAACCAGCGGGTCTTAGGACCCCACAGAAACAGGCAGCAGGGAGCAGAGTCGTTACCCTGCCTCCCCAGCAAGCGAGGTAAGGTTAAACCCGGGGCGGGAAGGCGGGGGGTGTGCCCGCCTCCAGGCAGGGGATGGAAGCTGCGTGGCTAGGCTGGGGGTCGGCTCGGCTCAGCTCGAGAGCTGCACAGCTGGGGTTGGGTCGGGGCAGCGCAGCTGGGCTGGGGCAACGAGGCTGGCCTGGGGGGGAG